AGTTCAATAGTTCTTTCAAAACTTCATGAGGTGCAATGACATATGAGTTCACTTTTACAGGGTTGTGTTCGACCAAGTTTAACATTATACTTAAAGCTTGACAAATCTTCTCCTGAGTTTGAAGTTTGTCTTTAAGTTGTTGGTAGTCGTTTCGAATATCTGCAACAGAACTTAAATCTCTGCTAACTTCAGGATATGTTGGTTCTTTTACAGGAACAATTGTTATACCATCTTCGTCTTCGTATGGTTTCCCCACTTCAACATCTCTGTCTTTGACATTGACAATAACACTTTGACTGTTTGTTTGAGTTGGTGAATTTAACTTCACATCTGCCACCGCCATTAAACCTTTTGAAACACTTACGCTTTTATTTTTCGGAAATGACATTTTACTTCGAATAAAAATATGGACGTATTTGAGTATCTCTTCGAATTGAAGCAAAACAAGGTTTACACACACAAACAATACAAATACATTGACAGAATAGTTCTTTACACAAACAATGGAAAATGTTATAGAATAGCAGTCTTTGCTGAACCTAAATATTTTCATAAAGCAAAGAAAGTTGGTATAACCGAGATGGTGAAAGTTCTTGACGTTGACAAAAATATAACTTCAAAACTGACCGATATTACTAAAGGAAAGTTTATAATACAATATTATGTCAAAACTGGCGTACTGTCAATATTTGACGGAGAGAAGTCAGTTCAAGAACAACTTACTGACCTGCTGCCAAAATCTGCTCGATGGAAGCTGTCGTTATGCCAATCTGAGGAGCCCCAGCAGGTTTCATCGAACGAATCTTCAAAAGAGCATCTTCCGTGAAAAGTGCTATTGGTTTTGTAAACTTCTTTGCTTTCAATTCATCTGGACCGTCTCTGTCACCAGTATATTGTATTTGAACTGTACCAACAGTTGAAATACCACCCATAAAGTCTTCTGAGTCAGCAAATGGAATGCCAAGCCAAAAGTTTGAACGGTCTCCATTTGTATATTGAGTTTTTTGACCTCCTGTATGAGTCCATACTTTCACATATGGCATAATAGAACTTTGCATTTCAGGGTTAATGGTCGTTGTGAAGTTGTTGTTAAAGTTCATAGCATCTAATGTCAAGTTGTATGACCTCATATCCTCAACTGTAGAATATTCTTCTCTTGGATAATATTTGCCATCTATGTTTATATGATATTTAATACCGGGGTTGTAGAAACAAGAATAGTCATTTATAGTTCGTCTGAACAGTACAAAACATAGTATCTGCATGTTTCATTGCAGTTGTTAAAGCAATATCTGTTCTTGCACCCGGGTCAGCACTTTGGTTTCCAACTTCACCTGCAAAGTCTTTGACAGATATTTGGTGTATAGGGAACATAAGTGGAACTGCAATATATTTGGCAGCTAAAGCATTTGAAATATCTGGGTCCAACATATAGACTGCAAGTCTGCTTTCTATTCTCTTGCATTCAAATTTTTCGCATGTGAACTTAACTGGGTCCCAAGCAGTTCCAGCAGCATTGAAATAATAGTTTACTTCATTGTTGAAGTTTGAGAAACCAAAGTCTAAGTCAACTTTGTCTTTGCAAAATTCGGCGAATGACGTTTGATTTGTCCCTTTACGTCTGTAATAGTGAATGGGTCTTGTGTTGGTGCAATGACTAAGTTATTTTTGCTTGGAGTAAGTTCAATAGAAATTTTTCCTGCCCAGTTTGGCAAGTATCTTAAAAACCTGAAGATGAGGAAAGATGACAAAGGAACTCTAAGTTTCAGTTTTACTTTGGTTACTGCTGCTGCAGTTTGTCCAGAAAGGTTAACATAAACTCCTGGAACGTTAGGGTCAAGTCTTCTTATTTTCTCAATATTTGCATACTGGTCTGTTTGTTCTCTAGCTTGTGGTTGTACTGAGTTCTCAAAGCGAACCATTCATAGTTTGCCCATGTTACTGTTTGAACTAAGTCAGAGTTAGAATATATCTTATATCCCATGAAAACTTCTGGAGCATATTGGTATCCGACATAGAAAATTCCATTGCAACCTTTCTTGTCAGACAACTTGGCAGAAGGTTTTATTTCAATGTCTTGTTCCACGTATAAGAATGAGTTGTCAATAGAAATAATATGAAACCTGTCGCAAGCAATATCTACTGTTGTTGAAGAACCTTCTCCAAACTCACCTACGTTTCCATAAGAAACAGCAGTTGTATATTCGTAAGTTCCAGGAACTATTTCTGACCTTCTAATGGCATTGTCGCATTCGTTATACCATTCGGAAACATTTCCGTTCATGGCATCCAAAACTGTTGGCGTTATATTCTGAGCGGCGTACATTTCATATGGGTAAAAATATAGAATAGTTGGATTTATATATCATAATTGTTTCGGACCAAGCTTTACTTTCTTCCTGACTGAGTTTTGTTGCATCTTTGCCTTATGTTCACCTAGTATGTTGTAAATTTCCCATGTCCTTTTTGCCTTTGGGCTCTGGTCGCCCATCTCAGGTAACCTATATCCTAGAAAGATTTTGTCATAGTCTGTATTTGAGTCTTCGCTTATTGTTTGCATGACTCTTTCCTGAGTTTCCGGTTCAAGCTCTTCAAACAGTGCCTGACCATATGGAATATGCTCGTTTCCAAATATATGTTTTTGTAGCCATTCTGGTTTTCTTTCCATGTAACCAATAATATCTTTTGTGAATGGGAAAGCTTTTACCCAATGTTCCAGTCTTGCGTCATTTATTTCTGTAGTTGGTTTTATTTTGTCAAGGAACATGTTTTTCAATACTAACATTTCATTTGGTACTGTCCATTTGAGTTTTCTTAAATATTCATCCCTTCTCTGTTCATTGTCTGCAAAGTAAGTTTTTATGACATTTTGCAAACTTTCGTTTGCAAGGTCATGTACAATAGGTTTCTCTTCCTTCTCTCTCCTAACTCTCTTTCTAAACTCTTCACCAAATATACCATCTCTATGGTTCTGTGTAGTTCTTTGAGATAAATGTTCTAGAACGTCAGGTGTTATATTTCCATCAGCCATGTTCATTTCATACTGGTCCAAAATATCTGCATCTTTCATATCTTTCAATGGCATTAAAGCCGCGCTGAAAATACCAGCTATATCTCGTTCACCATTCGCTTCCATTGCGTCTACAACTTCTTGGAATTGTGGTTGTAAGTTTATGAACCACCTATCCGGATTAGCTTTATGACCCCATCTCATTGTAGTTCCATAGTCTGCAGAAACAAAAGTAGGTTTGTTTCCATATTGGTTAGGTTCTGAATGAACTTTAAACAATGTTTCATTTCTATATGTTTTGTTGAAATTTAACCTTTTATTTTCACCGAGTTCATCCAAAGATTGAACGTTATATGCTCGTAAGTAAAAAGGATTGTTGTATTTGCGTACATTTTCTTTCAGTTCTTCCATTCTTTGCTGAATATTTTCATCTGATGTTGGAGTCTTTTGTATGTCGGCGAACATTTTTCGATATTCTTCTACTATGTCAGCCGAATTTTTCTTAGACTCTTGGAAAGATTCCATATTCTCCGCATACTCTTGTTGAGGGTCAAGATTTTTCGGCTGTTCCAAATCTTCATCTAGTTTTGTGAAGTTAGTTTCCAAAGGAGGGACTTGTTCGTTTCCTTCAGGCTCTTCTAGCTGTTGTTGCTGAACTATTTCTTCCATGTCTGGTTGTATCTGAACTTCTTCCTGTGGAGTTTCTTGTACCTCATCTGGTGGCATTTCATATATTCCGAGACCGTTTTTAACAAGTTCCCTATTTAAGTCATCCGCATTCATAACCCTTTCTTCTTTCGTTCCGTCTCTATTTTTTACGCGTTTCATGAAGATAGTTGAATCATCATTTATCTCTGACACCAAATATCTCGGAGTAAATTCATTCATGTCATTTGGATGATATGCTATTAAATCATATCCCTTAGCGAGCTTGTATTTTCCAGGTTTGAAATTATATCCCATTTGGTGCTGAACCATAAAGCTAAATAGGTTCGGGTCAGTATTTCCTTCCTTGAACTTTCTAATAGCTTCTTTATATCTGTCACTAAAGTCAAGAGTATCTGGGTAATCATAATTTTCCTTAAGCATTTTTAAGAATTCTTGGTTTCCTTGTTCTCTACTTCTTTTATGTCCTTGCTCTGTTTGTGCTGGTTGTTGTGCTGGTTGTGGAGGTGGTTGTTGTGGTGCAGGGTTTTGAACTGTTGGTTGCTGTGCTGGATTTTGAACTGTTGGTTGTTGTGCTGGATTTTGAACTGTTGGTTGTTGTGTTGGTTTTGGTGCATGCCTGTGTCTGTGTCCATGTGACGATGTAAATGTTTTAGGTAGTCCTGGTGCAGGTGCTTCTCTTGGAGGGTTTGGTGGTATATAAGTTCCACTAGCTAGTATATAAGTTCCACCAGCTGGTATATAAGTTCCACCAGCTGGCACATATGTTCCATCTGCAGCATAATGTCCTACCTGACTTTTCGTTCTTAAGAAAGCATTTACTAGGTCTGTTTTGGTCTGTTGTAACTCTTTTTCTTGACTTTCCACAACAGTTGCTCTAACGGCGTCATAGGCACTTTGAACTGCCTGTCTCGTTGCTGCATCTGTTATTTTCGTCATATTTTGTGCTACTTCTTTTAACTCTTTGTCGAAACCTTCAGACTTCAGTTTCTTTCCAGATGAGAAGTCGTTCACTAGTTTCACCTTACTATGAAGAGCTTCGAAGGCGTTCTTAAAGTCAGCATTCATTAAAGCTTCATTTGAACTGTCTTCATCCGCTTGTATTTTTGTCCTTATTGACCCTATAAGTTGGGCTGCTTTGGCGTTGGCTTGGGCATCTAACCAGTCATTATTAGCTTTTATATATTCTGCGCTTTTCATTGCCTTTTGCATGGCTGCGTCGTTATTTTTACTTTCTTGTGCTAAGTTTTCATACTGTACGGTTTGGTTTTGCAACTGTAAAAGTTTTTCTGCCTTTACATTTGCTTCAACTTCTTTTTTATACTCATCGCTATCCATATATGTCTTCAGGGCTTTTTGTTTTATCTCTTCATCTTTCAGTACTTTATATTGAGTAGTATGGTTTTTCAAATTTATAACATCTTGTTCCATTTTTGCTACTTCTGCTGCTTTTTCTGACACTTTTTTCGCATATTCCTCTGTACTTAGTTCTTTCAGTTGTTCTTCTTTCTTCTTTTTCTCTACGTTTAACTCATTGAGTTTCTTTGTGTGTCTGTCATATTCTAGTTTCTTTTCGTTTTCACTTATTTGTTTCTGTATGTCTATGTTTGACTTTTTGACATCTGTTATTTGATTTTTGAGTGAACTCAAATTCATTTGACTTTGAGGGTTATAAGCTGTTCCGTCTGCAGCTCCACCATAGCCTGCCATTTTCGCTAAAAGTGCCGCTCTTAAACCTCCACTCTGTGCACCAATAACTCGGTTTAAAAGCATAGGGTTGCTTGACATTTGTTGCAACATAGTGGGGTCATTCATCATTTGTTGTTGCAACTGTTGTTGTGGTGTCAGTTTTACTATTGGATGTTTCAATGCTCCCTTCCTCTTACGTATATTCTTACGTAGCTTACGTGGCATTTTAAGTGAAGTAAAAAACGGTTTTTGTGGTTTAAAACATGCGGCTGTCACTTTTTTGTTTGCATATCTCTTATATAGTGAAAAACGGTTTTGTCACTTTTAAAAAACGGAGTTGTCTGTCACTTTTTAAAAACGGTTTTGGTTTTGTCACCGGCTGGTCGGCTGGGGTTCGGTCCTCCTCTTGGGTCTTGGGCAAAATTCTTAGGGCTAGAAGGGGCGCAGCCCCTGGAAGCCCCTCATACCTGACCTACTTACCCATACTAACTATATTTTGAAACCTTTTAATCAATAAATAAGTTTTTGAAATTCCTCCTTTATATTGTGAAACACAAGAATTAATTAATTGTTTTTGCTCAAATGTTGGTGGATTTGGTTTTCTGCCGCGACTAACTTTTGGTAATTCGATTTCTTGAAGTTGAAATGCTCTTCTTATTGTATTTTCGGCAACATTCAATTTAATTTTACCATTTTCCAATTCAACTTCCTTTCCCACACTTTTGTAAGATTCACCTTCTTCTATTCTTCTTTTAGCTTCAAATAGCCATTCTCTGCTTATAGATTTGGCAGTAGTCATAAAAGTGGTCCTTCTTTTGTGATAAGATTCAAATTTGATTGTGGATGATAAATAAAAATCAAAAATAATTGTTATAATTTAAATGAAGAAGTAATTTAAAACGATTTTATTTATGATCAAATTTTATATATTTTTTGGATCAAATCCATTTTAATAGAATTTATATACTATTCATCTATTAGTAAACACTACCGTATATTATTTTTTAAGCTATCTTATTTTTTGAAATTTTATTCAAATCTTTGGTCGCAAGAAGAATTGCATGATAAATAAAAACATTTAATCAAAGTCAATTTTATTTTTCATATTCAAATGGACTGAGTGTTAACATTTAACATTTTTTGCTAATTGTCGTCAAAAATTAGGCGTAAAGCAAAAATTGATATTTCATATGGTTTTATGATAGATAAGCATTATATTCCCACTCATTATATTCGTAAATTGTGAGGTTTATCCTTCGCTTTTAAGATCATTGAATTTGATTTTTATATAAAATAGTTATATATTAGAAAATAATATGAGTTTATGTGATATTATTTTTCAGAAGATTTCATTCTATATGCCTATGAAAAGTACTCTCAAAACTAACTTTTCCTAATTATAATTAAATCTAGAATATTGTATTATGCTTAGTATTATTTCATTTTTCTCATTCAATTTAGAATTTACAAATGTCAAAAAATTGAGAGCTGTCGCTTTTGATGAATTTCTGTTTATTACAGTATAGATTTGAAAGTATATTCAATATGATTATTTAAAAACAATTTTTTGAAAATCAATCGTTTTATCGAAATTCTAATTTGATATTAATTGGCCATTTCTAGTGTTAAAATCCAGATATTATTAACTATTTGATGTTTTCAAAAACGAATTTTTGATGATTGTTTTTATGATTTATACCTCTCAATTAATAAATCATCACAAAAAATTATATGTCTTCTCACAAATAAAACCAAACATATCATTTTTGAATACATTATCCTTAATTGATTAATAATTTGGTTTCTTTTTATTGATACAATAATACACGAGTCATTATATTTTGTGATCAAACGTTCGCAGTCTCACTTCAATTCTCTTTAATCAACCATCTGATTTCTAACATTTTATCCGAATATTGTCAAATCAAAAAAGACCAAAATGTCAGGAATTTTGAAAGGAAAAAGTGAATTTCCTACATATTTTTGAATACTTTTTATCTCAAAAAAATTTGAAATGTTTCTTTCAAATTCCGTAACGCTATAAACTAAACGAAACATTTATTTTCTAATTTTAATCATATATTTCCAAAAATTTGATACGTAAAAATCACAAACTAAATTGAGAACTCTTCTTTCAATTTTTATAATAATTAGACTCATTACATTTTTCGACTTAAGAACATATAAACATCATTCTCGATTTATAATTTTTTTTTCTGTCATTTTTCATTTAATGACATCACCAGACGTACTTCATTGCTATGAACAAGTAATGGTAGGTCTGCAAGATGAAGCTAATGAGCAGCTTCGGAACATCATTTATAAGTTCATTGTTAACGAAATTGATTTAAAAGATGCAAAACTTTCAAGCATTTCTTTAACAGGTAACTCGAACTTAATTGACAAGCTACAGCTATTTATGAGGTACAACGATGATGACGAAGATCCATCGTCCTCCTCGGAAGACACTTCCTCCAAGAAGAAAAACAAGATCTGGTCCCTTGCAGAAGATCACAGATTGATCATTGGAATCCACCGCTATGGCATCAAATGCTGGTCTTTAGTTTCAGAGTACGTTGGTAACGGACGTACAAGGTGCCAATGCCTTCAGAGATGGCAGAGGTCTCTTAACCCTATAATCAACAAAAACCATTGGGCTCAGAAAGAAGACATTGCATTACTAAATGCAGTCCAAAAATACGGAGATCATAGTTGGACAAAAGTTTCCAATGAAGTCAAAGGAAGAACTGATATCCAATGCAGATACAGATATCAGCTTATTACTTCCAAATACCCCGAGGCTCTTGGATTGAATCCAACGACCTATATTTGTATGAACTACGATAATCAGCCACCAAAGGCCCCCGAACGAAAGAAAGTCGAGGTGGCTGCCCATATCGACATTGAACAAATTATGTTCTTAAAGGATATTTCCTCAGATCCAACATCTCTTTTTAATTTGTGCGAGTAATTGTTTAATTTTCGATTTATTTTTGTAAAAATTTGAAACAAAATAATTTTTGATTTTGCTTTTTTCCGGAAGATCATGGAGACTCTTAATGGATTGGTAATGTGAAGGATATATCATTATTAATTTTGCTGTTTGTTAAATTTGAGGATGCTGTGAAGGATATACCATCAAAAATTTGAAAAAATATAAGAGTTGTAAAACTAGCTTTGGTAGCATATTCTAATGATGATAATTAGAAATTATAAAAACTGTTAACTTTACAATTCTGAAATCGGAGGTGTTTTATGTATGATTTCGTAACAAATGAATAATTTTTAAGCTTTTTTATGCCAAAAAAAGGGACAGTGTTATAAAATCTTAGTTCAATTCTTTCGGATATTGTTTGATAAAGCTGTTTTTATTAATTAATTAAATTTTCTAAACAATTTGTATAGTGATAGTATAATATGTGAACTCTTAATGAAAGTTGCATTCATTTCTATTCGCGAATTTGATAACTAGTTTATTTTTGCTAACGTTGATGAATATATATAAATTAAGTACAACTCAACAAAGATATTCGGTTTTCATGATAAAATTATCAAAGCCCTGAAAGAATCATTATCTTTTAAATAATTTTCAAATAATGATATACCATTGCTCCTGAAAAATATTTATATCAAAATATGCGTTCATTTACGTCGCCCTCAAAGATATTCCTTCTTCTCAAAGAATTTTCAATTGACCATCGAAATTGCCATGGTTTAACATTGAAACGAAGGTTTTAATTTTTCCGAATCATATAAATTAATACAAGTGTATCTATATATGCAAGATTCATCATCGATAATGAATAATCTGCGGTTTCCCTCATTTTAATTGTGACAAAGTAAAATATCTCCCAAACGTATCTCTCAGAAATTTTTGTATGTGTGCTCAAATTTTCGCTTCAAAAATTTTTACTACCCAGTCAATTTAATTATTAAAACTGATATTACTACTCTCACTATTATCTGCTAAAATGATTAAAATTAAATTTGAAATTTCTTCATAAATTTCATTCAACTTTCATTAAATTATACAATTGTGTTGAACAGTTAATGAGTGATAATACAAGCGAAAATTTATACAATGAGCTTATGGTAGGTGTAGCCCATAATCAAATACAAGAAATTCGCGTATTATTTTACAAATACATCTTAAATTCGATAACAATAGATGAAGCTCGAAAATCATGCAAAGAAATAACAGGATCTACTGATTGCATTGAAAAATTACATAAGTTTATCGAACTTCAAGACACTCCTTTGATTTACAATAATAAATTCGAATTTTCATCAATACGTAAAAATAATAGTTGGTCATCAATAGAAGATCAACGTCTGATATCTGCTATTCATAAATATGGTACATCAAACTGGGGATTAATTCGAGATTTTATTGGAACCAAGAGATCATCAGCACAATGTTCGCAAAGATGGCTTAGATCACTTAACCCTCTAATAAATAAATCTCATTGGACTCCAGAAGAGGATTATAGGCTCTTAAATGCTGTACAAAAGTTTGGAGAAAAATCTTGGACAAAAATAGCAGCAGAGTTGAGTGGACGAACAGACTGTCAGTGTCGGTATAGATACCAACAAATAGCGAAGAAATTTCCTGCAGACCTAGGGGTTAATGCTAACGACTATATATCCAAGTACTGTACCGAATGTATAATGAAAAATTCTGAAATTAATAAAGAAGAAAATCCTCCTGCTAAGATTATTAAGGATGATAATGACGTATCGATATTTGAAATGATGACAGAGCTCTTTGAATGATTTTTATTTGTATTAGTTTTACAAATATATCTAGGAAATATAGAATGGCGGCTACCAATATGGTTTTGTTATAAGTCACTTAGTCGAATTCTGGTTTTTATTTTTGTTTTGGATTAAAATATGATTATATATAAATAATATTAGTTTAAAAAGTAAAGTTGTTGATTCTCTCTTAATTCTAATTGTTTTGTATAAATATCGTAAAAAAGTAAAAATAATTCTACCTGAATACTTCTATATTAATATGGAGAAATGTACCGGACTGTAAAAATTATTTTTTCAAAGAACAATAATATTAAATGTGTAGAAAATAATAAAATTCTTCAATAGAAAAGCTGTAAAGGGAAGTAAATAATAATTCTACCTGAATACTTCTATATTAAGGTCAGGTAAGTGGGGCTTCCAGGCACTTCGTGCCCTCTAGCCCCGAAGATGTTTAGTATAAATGAAGTTTTTATTCGGAAAATTGTTAGTCTTCTGGTGTGAATTCGGAGGACTCTTCTTCTTCCTCCATTGCTTCTGGGAAGAAGCCTTCTTCTGGGTCGAAAACATTATATAATGTGTCGCTTTTCACAAATTATATATGTTTTCATGTTTTGTCACTTTTCTGTCACTTTTCAGGAAAAAACATTTTTATTATTATATATAAATGAATTTTACAAAACCACCGTTACCGTTCTTTGGAAATAAGAGTAGATGTAAAGATATTATATTGAGAGAACTTAAGAAACTACCGAATGGTCTAACATTTGTAGATTTGTTCGGTGGAAGTTTCTATATATCCCATTTGTGTCATACAATATTCCCAGACTCAAAGATTATATGCAATGACTTCGACAACTATATGGACCGTCTCAAACATATTCCAGACACAAACAATATATTGAAAGAGTTAAAAGAAAAGATACCTATAGGTAAGATGGAACGTATACCATTAGATAAGAAAAATATTGTGAGAGAGGTTTTGAAAAAAGCAGAATATATAGACTGGGATAGTATATCTGCTAGACTATTATATAGTGGTTCTATAAGAGTTCATGACATTGAAACACTTATGTCAAAAGTTTTATATCTTAACTATACAAATGTTTTCAAAGAGGACATAGAAAAATATATTGAGGGTATAGAGTTTGTGAGATGTCATTGGACAGAGTTGTATGAAAAATATAAAGACAAGGAAAATGTTTTCTTTATAGTGGACCCGCCGTTCTATAACACATGGGATTTTCAATACCAAGTAGATTGGACTTTGAGAGACTCTTTAGAAACTTTAGACGTTATACATAACCATCCATGCTTTTACTTTACATCCGATAAAAGTGGTTTGGAAACTGTTATGAGATGGTTAGAGGACATACATGACTATGAGTTTATATATGACAAGATAGAATATGAGAGAGGTCCTATAAACTGGAGAAAGTGTCATAACAAAGAAATTTTATTAGTAAGTAAATGTGGTTTGAAATCGGATTGTTAGTTTTAGGTTTTTTCCATTGTGTCATTTATTTATTTGACGTGGCAGAAAAGTACAGAGAATATGAAGATGAACCAATGCCTGCAAATGTTCAGTATATGTACTCGTAAGAGATATTTTTATCTAATATTAAATGGACGCACAGAACTTAGCGAATGCACAGCAACCTGGACAACCAAACCCAGAGAATATTCCAAATGAAGTTAGAATACAAACTGCAATGGCAAACTATGGTCAAGTGCCAACAGATGTACAAATGCAAACTGCCATGTCAAATGACGCTGCGTTAGGTTTGCCACCATGGTATGCAAATATGAGATGGAAAGAGTTTTATACAAACCCTGAAGTGGGATATAAACAACTTTATGCAGATGACGCGAACACAGGAGTTGACCCAGAATATGTTTTCTACCAGAGGAGAAACAGAATGTATGAGCTCCAGTTAAAGAATGCTATGGAACTCAACAGGAAACGTAAGAGACTAGGCGGACATTAGATTTTTACATATAGTAAAATGGGTTTCTTCAGTAAGATAGGAAACTTCTTTCGAAATGTTGGAAGAGGTATATGGAATGGAATAAAATCTGTCGGAAAAGGAATTTGGAACGGTGTCAAAAATATTGGTAAAAGAGTAGGTCAGTTCGTTGGTATTATACCTAAAGACCCTGAACCAGAAGAGCAAGCTCCTGTTATACAACAGCCTGAACCTGCACCACAGTCTAGTTGGCAACCAAATCCAACACCTCAACCGTATTAAAAAATTATATTTTTACCGTTCGATAGTAGTTGTATATGAAACTAAGTTCTAAGTAAAACGCATGGTATAATGGAATTATTCTTTTTCTTCCATCTGTAGTAAACCATACTTGAAAGTCTGAAATACTTCCACTCGGCGGTTCATATAACTTTGTAGGTTTTTCGTAAAAGTCATTTGCCAAGCATAAGAAAGAGTTTTGGGCGCCAGAAAATGAAGCATGAACAATAATAGCAGCTGGGTCGAAAACATTTTCATATGTTCCATTAGGGTTTTCGACTTCATAAAAGTCTGGGTGTACTGGATATGCTGCAGGCTGATTTAACATCCTCATAAATCTATACCATGCCAAGTTGTTATATTTTGTAGAAATATAAACGTTTTCTCCAAGGTCTTCTATTTTATTGATTTTAACAGTTGCATTTTTCCTATCATAAATAATATCGAGATGGTATTCTCCTTCGTCAATGTTATACTGGTTTGCATATTCGATATAGATATCGTTTATTTTTTCTTGAAAGCTTGAAGAGTTGTTTCTAAATTTATAAGCAAACTAACTTGTAAAAGTTTTCCCTGTTCAAATTTCTCATACATACGTTTTTCTTTGTATAGTATCGAACTTCAAAACCGACCGTAAATGGGAAACCATGTATGGCTTCTGAAATGAACTTCATTCTACGAAAGCCAATAGCTTTTGTGACGGATGGGTCTCTTAACCATCTTAATGGGTAGTCAAAACGATAGCCTTCATGCTTTACGGTATCTGTCTCAAACTTTTGACCGACATTAGTAAAAAGTTCATCTAATGGTTTAGTTGTAGCAACTCTAGAATTTTCTTTTCTATTGGAAGCATATTTTATCTAGAATAAAAATGTCGAAAGATATTGCTTCCATAAGAAATACAACACAACCGACAACTCATTATGCAAGCTCTAAATAAGAACACAACAAACTTTTCAAACTATTCTAAGATATCTGAGTCATTGAAAGAAGGAAACTTAAAACTGACATTAAACCCAATGACAGATGAGTTTCTGTTTCAAGACAATAAGAACCATACTGTCTGTATAAATCCAACAAAAGGAACTTTAAACGAGAAACCTATAAATGAACTTCTTTTGAAGGCAGATGTGACAACAAAGCTGACAAAGAATATGTAGACGATGCAATAGCAAAGAAGAAGAAAGAGCTAACAATGCTTATGCAACAAAAGAACATACTCATCCTGAACTAGCAGACAAAACATATGTTGACAATAAAATGTCAAGTGAAGTGACAAGAGCTGAAAACGAATATTCTAAAAAGACTCATATACATTCTATATCTGATATTACAAACTTACAAGAAACATTAGAGACAAAAGCAAATAAGACTCATACACATACCATTGCAAATATTACAAACTTACAAGAAACCTTAAACAGGAAAAGTGACGTTGGACATACACATACCATTGCAAATATTACAAACTTACAAGAAACCTTAAACAGGAAAAGTGACGTTGGACATACACATTCTATATCTGAAATAACAGACTTAAACGTTAGCCTTGAAAAGAAAGCAGACAAGAACCATACACATGATTTCTTCACAACTGTTGCTATAGAAAGTATTGAAGGAACGGTTGAAGAAACTGGTGGGGATGTATTATATTGTAAACCTCCTAACTTTCCACAAGGTTTAACATCGGATGACGACATAACGACGATGAGAAACATTAGATGTAAAGATGTTTATGTCATGAAGGATGAACATAATATTAAATTCACTGCTCAAGATTTATATGACAAGAAAGCAGACAAAACAGAGCTTCAAACATTAAAGACAGAAATACTTCAAACATTATATCCTATAGGCTCTATTTATACGTCAATGAACTCTACCAGACCAGAAGTAGTACTTGGTTTTGGAACTTGGACTCAAATAGTCGACAGGTTTTTGTATTGTGCAAACTCTTCAAAGGAAACAGGTGGAAGTAAAACGATTTCAGGTGAAAATTTACCTGCACACAGTCATTACATAAATTTAAGTACATCTCAAGAAGGTTGGCATAGGCATAGATATTGGGGTTGGACAGGAATGACAAAAGGTAAAGGATATGATGTTAAAGACGACGTTAAGTTTGCTATAAATTGTTACTGGGATGACACTTGGGGAGAAGGAGACCATACACATCACGTTTCAGGATATACGCAAACAACGGGACAAAGTAAAGAATACATGCCACCTTACATGACAGTTTACGCATGGTATAGAAATGCTTAGTCGTCATTTTCAACTTCTTTAGCATATTCGTCAGGAGTTGTCTTATATTTGTTAGGAACTGTCTTTGAAAGTATACCACCTTGAACTTTGACAAGTTTGAAACGAGGTCTGGCAATAGTAGTTTTATCTTCTGCTTGCAGTGTGTACATTTTGCCATGTTTGCCTAAAACTTCATAATATTCTCTTGTATACTTTCTTCTATTTTTACGAACACGAATGTGAGTACCTGTCGGGTTCCCATTGTTGTCATAGTCAATAGTATTTTCATATGGGTCGCGTTTAGGTATTTCTATTTTTACTTTGTCACCTTTCTGAAGTTTGAAGCCCGGCATTCTTTCTTGTTTGTCTCTTTTGACTAAATTATTAAATATATAGTCTTTCTCTAAGTCAGGGTTGTTTTTCATTTCTTCGGGGGAGTGGTTTCCCAAACCTTTTGTTTACGGTTATTGTAAATATTTAAAACTTGTCTCATCTTTGCCATGGAGAAGTGTCTATACTTGTCGTCATATGACATTTCATTTGCTTCACCACCTTGTGGTTGGTTTAAGTCTCTTAACATTTTTATACAACCGTCAATGACACCAAGAGCAGAATGGTTTTGGTCGACAATGAAATATTGTTTACATTTTTTGAACGCAGATAGTTTTTAATATCATCTGATTTGAAAGAACTTTCACAGTCAGATGTCAGTTTTGTTGGATGGTATTTGTCAACGAATATTGTCAAAGCAGTTTTCACATCTAAAATATTTTTGGACCATAATGGTATGGCTTCACAGTATCTTGTTTTTGACCAACAAATATTAACCAGTATGGAGGTCCATCTGTTCTAACTCTCGGAATGTTTTCCAAGATATCCATAAACCAAGCATTTGGTGTTGAACTAAAGATTTTTATCATGAGTGCTTTCTTTGTCGCTTTAGAAACATAGGGTTCTTGTTTGGATTCGTCATTTTTTAACCCATAAGAAATGGGTTTATTTGGCGCATTAGCAGGAGTTGCATCTAGATTTTTACCCGCAGTGGAACAATAGCCAGAGGTGCATTTGGAATTGGAAGGCAGATTTTGAGTACATTAGGTATACTTAAAGAGAAAGCACAACCTATTATACAAACTGTACAGAAAGGTTGGGATGTAGCACGAGATGCAACAAATCTTATTCCAAATCCTGAAACAAGAGGAAAAGTTCAAAGGATGGATGGACAATGTAGGAAGACAAGCAGGAAACTATTATAACAAAGCAAATGACTACTATAACCAAGCAGGACACTATATGGACCAAGGTGAAAGATTCTTTAACAGAGGATATAACCATGCACAACAATGGGTAAACAATAACCAACCTCAACCGCCTCAAACGTGGGGAATGTAAAGTTTTTTACTGAGATGAAATGAACAATACAGCATTGAGACAAATGGGTTCAAGATGGATTGTCGACTTCCAGCAGTTACACCACGTGTTTGTCAAGTTCTTCCTATACCTCAGAAGTTTTAGACCGACTTAAAAAACAACAACAACCAGTTTGAAAACAAACCAAACTAAAATTTTTTACTGAGATGAAATGACCGAAGAAGTTGAAACGGTAGATTTGACACCACAAACAAAAAGTTCAGAACCATTGTCAAAACCTGTCAAAGAACTTACAGATGAAGAGAAAAATTCAATAATAGAAAGTGCCAGGTCTGGAAATACAAACCCTAACTACAAAGTCACTTTTCATAAAAATGGAACGGCTAGTATCTCAAAAAAGAGAACAGACTCTCACAAATAAAATATTGAAGTCTGAAGGAGCTTTCGAGACAACAGATGGAAAAGTTTACTTCACTGACCAACAGTTCATTATAGAACATCTCATTGACTTAGAGTCGAAATATTCTAAACTTTACAACAAACACAAAAAGTTGAAAGGAAACAAAAACAAATGGCATATGATATTTATGAAGATGTTGACGACACAACTGTTCCTGCAAGTGAAGTAAAGTCAGAGGAACCGAAAAGTGACGAAAAACCGATAGAAGAAGAAAAAACCAAAAACTGAAGATAAACCAAAACCAAAGTTTAGTTTCCAAACTAAACCAAGTCAAACCTTCATTAGCTGTATGGGTTGGCGTCAAAGACTTATGGCAGCAGGCGGTTATGTAAAGTAAAGAAAAAAAATTTTTTTTATTTTTATAAAAATGCCCCCATATAGAATGGATAGAAAGTCTGCTAGAATAAAAGCAGAGTTGCAAAGATATGGTTGGAGAGTTTCGAAGAATTTTAAATATAGGAAGGGAAGACCCATAAAACTATGACAAATTGTCTGGTCTTCGCTACGAAATGGATTTGGAAACAGCGTGCCAATTATCCAAACAGACTAGAGAGGTTAGAAGAAGAACGTCTTATGGACATGCTTTCGATGTTAGTGAACCTCAAGTTGAAGGACACGACGGCTTTGCCAGATTCTACTGGAAACATGACGAACAATTGCATCCTTTGAGAAGGAAAAAGGTAGTGCAGAGGATGGTCATGCTCCCATGGAAAGAACAAGATATGCATATGAAAAGTATCGTGAAGTTAGAAGTCAAATTACATCTGGTCGAACCTTTACAGTAAACTTTGACGAAGGAAAGAACAAAGAAGGCTTCATGGGAGTACTTGCTGCAATTCAAGACGGAAATAAGAAAGGACACAATCTCAGATTGACCATAACAGATTTGGATGGTCACATTTACTATGCACATGGCAATGAACAAACAGCCGCAAAACTTCTTGACGCTTTCAAGACTACAAAGAGAGAACAAATGGTTGACTCCGACTCAGACATTTTGAATGCAATTGAAGGAATTGCAAGTGTCAAGTTCGAATGGTACCAACCTAACCCTCAAGCAGTCAGACAACATGCTGGATACTTCCCCTTCATAAATAAGTCTGACATTGACTTGACAAGGTATGGAATTTACAATTCAATTGAAACAATTGTCAATGAACCTTGTATTCTTACATGTCTCAGGAACTCTGGTCTTGTTACAGATGAGAAGATGAAGTATCTTGAGTCATGTGTGAAGACAAGGTACATTCTCAGAGGTCAATTGGCAAAAATTGCACCGTTGGCAAATGTCAATATCCGAGTCAACATACCTACAGCTAAAGGTTCTTCACATGACGACTATGTTGTTGAGTTCAATTTACCATGGTTGAAGATTGTAATTGTCCACAACCACTTCATGTTGAACGAAAGTCTTACAAACCCATTGTTCGGAAAAGGCAAGTGCAACATTGTCAGAGCTGTAAACATTCTTTTCGAGAAAGGTTTGTTGGAACCAATTCCAGATGACAAGCTGACAGAAACTTTTGTACCAAAAGACGAAACAAACTTTTCACTGTTAGCAAGACCAAAAGTTGTTCCAGACAAAGTTCTAGTACAAAAGAAGTACACAATTCCACAAGGAGTTGGATTGTTCGGATACCAACCTGAACCAGAAGAACTTCCAATGAGGTTGCAAGAACTTCAAGATGCTATAAACAAACTTCCATTGAGACATCCAATTGACGTCAAATTGTATTGGAGAGCATCTGAGTTAGGTCAGAAGGTTTTATATGAAACAGGTTGCTTCGACGATGTTTATGAGATAACAGGAGAAGTTTCTCAGAAGATAAGAGACTCACTTGAATTTCCACAAACTGGACCAATTGGTTGCGACAAGTTCGACTCAAACGAAAAAGATATACTATGTCGACCTTAACGCTGCGTACATGAGGTTTGTCCAATATATTCCGACTGGAATTCCAAACGAAGATGGTGAGTTCCCGGGAAGGAACTATACAGTTGGAAAAGTCATACAACAACTGTATGATATTAGGAAAGCTTCAAACCCCAAACTTGCAATGACACTCAAATTGCTTATGAATTCGACATGGGGATATTCCATTAAGAAACCTCAAGAGATGAAGAGTAAACATTATGAGAAGGTCGACAACTTTGTTGAAAGGTTTTCTCCTTTTGTTTTGAAGTACGAATTCACTCAAGGTCAAAGTGGCTTAGTAACCACATTAAAACCTATTGTCGAACATTGGTCTTACCCTCAGTTCGCAAAAGCAGTCCTTGACAACTACAACAAATTCTTCTCCGAAGTCAAATCGAAAGTGAAGGTTTACTATGAGAACATTGACGCACTCATGACGAACGAAGAAGGATACAACAAACTCATTGAAATGGGTTTAGTCGGTGAAAAGATGGGTCGATTCAAATTGGACAAAATTTTCACCGAAGTTCATGTAATATCGAAAAGGAAATATTGGGGCATACTTGAAGACGGCACAGAAATAAAACATTGCATGAAATAAAAAATTTTTATATTCCTTCCTAGCTAATTTCCGTTTAATTTCATGGTCGCCCTCGGAGTCTTTGAATCGGACAGGTCGAGTTACACCATTCTTGGTCTCAAACTCATATATAACCTGTTTGTCTGTATTTTCGTCGACTATGGCACGAGACACGAACATTGACCAAACGGACAAAAAGTGTCATTTCGGATGGTCAAGCAGCCAATCGCATTCGAGCACTTCGAAGAAGCCTTACGTTCCAAGGGAGAGGGTGTCTGGTGCAAGGCAGAGGTCATGAAACTCTACGAGCAGTACATCCTCAATGCCTGGGAGGACAAATCGTCCTTGGATTGGCAATTCTACCAACTTCTCTGGGACGACCTCCTACGCAACTGGGATAACGAAAGAGTCCAATTCAAAGGTCGGGAACTAATTTTGCAAATTACCCTTAATTTAACATACTTATCCAAATAAACACCTAAATTTACTTGGGGTTTCCCCCTAAAATAAAATTTTTTTACTCTTAGAACCACTCGAGGTTCTCCTTACGGTTGTTGAGCTTGTCACCGTCAATGTGTCTGACCTTCGTCTTCTTGTCTGGATTTGGAACCCATTGAATTGCGACAAGCTTGCCCATGGAAATTGAACCGCGATTCCGAAGGTTAAGGTTCAAGTGTCCCAAGTTGTTGAGGACTGGGGTAAGAACCTTGCCGGTCTCCCTGTTGCGGATTTTGTATGGGTAGGGTTGGGAAATTTCGTAAGCGTCATCGGCAACAAGGGTTGCCCAAACTTCCTCTTCTTCGTGTTTCTCTTCTTCCTCTTCTTCCTCTTCTTCCTCGACAATTCCTTCTTCAATTCTGTGTTCACGAATTACGGTGTTGGAGGTTCTGTCCTTTCCGAGTACCTTCCAGATGGCATCTATCTCTTCGAAGAAACGGTAGATGAGTCTGGCAAGGTCTCGGTTCTCTCTCTCGTAATTGCGCAAGGTTTCCGCGAAATCGTTCAGGCATTTCTCATTGGAAGCTTGGTTCATGAGGACATCGGCTTTAAGTTTGGTCATCTCTGTCATAAGACAACTTTGGAGAGTCTTAATGGTGTTTGTCAGATGAGCTTTCAATTGGGCAATTTGAATTTGAACTGGGCGCTTGTCTGGCAACCTTGAAAGGACATCTGCCATTGAGTTTGGCTTCGGTGCTTGTTCGGACATCGAAAAAATGAAGTGGTTTGAGAATGGCGGTTTTACTTCAAAAAGCTTGTTATGACAGTTATGTCATACAACAAGTTTAAAATAATATCTTGTTCTTCTTCTGAACGTTTGTTGTCTCTTCCGATAAAAGTTTGGAACATGAGAACCAAAAAACGTTTTTTGAGATTGTGGAAGAGTTCAGGCAAACGTTCATATTCCGGATATGTTGGGAGCAGTTCGAAACATCTGAGCTGACTTTCGGACAAAATTGGGACAATGTCAACAAATTCATCTTTGGTCGGACTGCTTGAAGGTAAGTCCCTTACATGTAAGTAGCTCTGGTAAAGTCTTCTCATTTCTGCTAACTTTTGGAGTATAGCTTCGTAGTTTAGAAGTTTTAATTTTAATTGTCTTATTCCACTCTTGACATCTAAACGGTAACTATCCATGAGGTCAAGAGTAGCTTTGGTAGCTTTAAGTGGAGCTATCTGTTCCTTGACTTGTGCAATTTTGGTTGCAATTGTGATTTGAGCTCCTTCAAGTTCGCCGTCTATGTCGTTCTCAACGTCTTCAACTATGGCTTGAAACTCTTCATCGGTCCATTGAGATTGGTGTGGGACGAATTTAACTTGCTTCATTCAAAAAATGAAAAAAAATGTTTTTACTCTAAACGTTAAGGTTTACTGAACTGGTTAGATGTCGCCTTCACAGGTTATGTAGAACGGCTGACCAGAGAAGTGAAGGAGACCCTTGAGAATTTGGTTCATTCTTGGGAAAGGGTTCTCTCTGTTTGGAAGTTGTATCCAAGGACGCTTGGCAAAGAACTTTATAATGGCTTCCTTCTTTGCTTGCTTTATGTCGTCGTAGGCTGTCCCGTCTGGTATTTGAATTGGAATTCCAGTCGAAGTCTCGAGATTCAAGGCAGCCCTTCCCGTTATCCAACCGCTAACAAGCTTGCCTTTTACATTCTGCCTGAGGAAGTCTTTAACAAGCTCGTTAATTTCAATTAGGTAAATTGCCTCGTCGGTAGGTTCGACCTCGACCATTGCTACTGTCAGAAAAAGTACTGCTACTGTCAGAAAAAGTACTGCTACTGTCAGTAAAAGTACTGCTACTGTCAGAAAAAGTACTGCTACTGTCAGTAAAAGTACTGCTAGGAGCAGTAAAAAGGAAAATTTGAGAGGGTTTTCGACGATAAAGTACTGCTACTGTCAGTAAAAGTACTGCTACTGTCAGAAAAAGTACTGCTACTGTCAGAAAAAGTACTGCTACTGTCAGTAAAAGTACTGCTACTGTCAGTAAAAGTACTGCTAGTAGCAGAGATTTTTATCGTTGTGGTCCGACGGTTAAGCCACAAACGAATGTCCGACGTACCACCAACCGAGTCCATTCCCAAACCAGAGGAACCTAAAGAACCACAACAGTCTCCTCGGCAACCTCAGTTCCAGCAAGTACCTCCGAATTACTACCAATTTCCACCTCAAGGTTACTACCCACCACAAGGCTTCCCGAACTACCCTCCTCAGCCTATGCCTTACTTCCCCAACCCTTGGTTGTTCCAGCAAGCTCCACCCCAGCAATTCCAATCTCAATCCCAATCGAAGAGAGACCAAGAGTTCGAAGAAGGTCTGAACCGTTTACGCAAAGATTATGCCACAGCCCCTATGGAAGACGACAGGCTTTCAGTCTCTTCCCTCAAATCGACCGATTCGACTCGTACCACAGATTCGGTTCGTGACCGTGAAGACTACCTCAAGCAGTCTGAGAGACTCTTCATCCTACAATCATTTACAGTTGGAGCTCTCAAGAACATGCGCAATTACGAAGGTCAAACACCAGCTGGAGACCGCAAAACAGACGTGCTTACAAGAGCAGTCCAACTGGTCAAGACAAAGACTGAGATAGTCGACTTCATTCTTGCAGCTTGCCCATACAAGTAAAAAAATAAACAATTACGAGTTAAACTTTTTATTCTTTCTTTTCTGAGTTGTTTAGAGCTGGTTTCTCTTGTAGGAACCTTTCGTACTCTTCCATGGTCATGTAATTGCGAATTTGGTACGCAATTCCAGGTTCGTTGTTTTGAACCTTATGTATGTAACGCTTCCATCCTCCTCAGGGAAGTAAGCTGCTAACATCTGACCAAGTTTTCTCGGTGACTCGGAGCTCATAAAAATGTCACTTTTTAAACGTTAAGTTTTTAGTCTTAATTTACCCTTTGTTTACCCTTTGTTTGTCAAGGTAGTATTGGAGTGCAATTTCTCCAAATTCTCTGTGTCGGAGTTCTTCAGCATTTTCCAAGGTGTCCCTGGAGAACTCAAAGAAGTTGTCAAGAACATACTGCCATGCTGCTCTTCTGAGTTCGTCGGTATTTTGGAAGTGTTGCACCTTCGAGTCTTCGGACATGAAAAAATGACACTTTTTCTATTAAACCGTTTTGGCATTTCTCATGAGTGAGTATAGTTCTGCCGAACCATTGGAAGAGAAGAAGTACCCTTGCTGGCAAAAGACAAAAATAGTTGCCTTAGTTGTCATTGCAATTGTACTCGTAATTGAATTCATTGTACTTCTCTTCACGTACATAAAACTCAGCAATGGTATTTGCTTTAAGAAGCTACCATCTTACTAAGACTAAACACTTAGATTTTTCAAGCTTGACTTTTTACAATTTGAATTTTGTTGCTGAATTCAGCAAAAATAATGTTTAGGTGAAGAGGTGAGATCTCACCCGTTTTTTCACCTGTTTTTTCACCCTCGTGAATTTTCATGAATTTTCCCGAAATAAAAAATAAAGTTAGTTTTATTTTATTTATTTTTTTTATTTTGTATAAAAGATATGATTTCAACAATCGGCACAACAACAATACAAACAACTACAGCACCAAACTCGTTAGTTATGAATCCTACGTCAATGTTAGTAGAGATGAAAAACTTCATTCCTTCTTCATATACTTTCGAAACAAAAATCCAGAAGATAAAGCAAGAACTTTTAACAAGTAATTTAGACTGTAGTGCGAAAGATGAAACAAATGAACAGTATCTTTATGAAATGCAGGACATTATTGACCATTTACCCAAATTGCCTGAAATCCAACAGCAAAAACTAACTATTCCTGAATTCGACGAAATAGAAGTCAAAGCAACTGACTCAGTAGAAATAAAGAAATTCATACGTAAAGTAAATTATGAATTCCTTGGTTTTCATTGCAACCATAAAGTTATGGACAAAGATTGCGACATGTTATATAAGAACATCTCTGACATATATAAATCCGAAGAATTTAAGACATACGACAACTTTGTTTCATTAGTTGCAAAATGTGTTTGGGAAATAAGAGATAAAGATAGAAGAGGTAAGGTATGGCATGAACAGTTAAAACCAGCAGCTTTTGAGTTAAAGAAAACCATTGACGCTTTAGTTGTTTTAGCTGGTAATGTTTCAATGTATAACGCAAAAATGAACCCGCAATGTTCTAAATGTAAAGCAGCAATGAGGAAATATAACTACTCCGTCAAAGAGATAGAAAGAATGCGAAACGACTATGCAGACTTAAAGAAAGAAGCAGAAAAGCCAGCAGAAGATAAAATGGACATGTTAGAATTTCTGAACAAAAACTATCCAACTGCAGAAGATTTCCTTCTGTCTGACGTCAAGAAGAAATATAAAGAGACTTTCGGCATTGTTAAAACATTCGATGTACTAAAAGAAGAAGTAGAAGCTACAAAACTGTTTAGGATTTCAAATATACATCGTACAATTCATGTAAAACGCTTATAAAATAACTGGGGTGAAAAATTAGGTGAAAAAACAGGTGAGATCTCACCTCTTCACCTAAATTATATTTTTGCTGAATTCAGCAACAAAATTCTGAGTAAAATGGCATATGCTTGCTTCCCTCGGAAAACCGAGAGAAGAACAGCGAGTAGGTAAAAAACCCCAGTCGCCAAAACTCTATGAAAACAGTGAAACAAATAGTTCAAGATACGTTACCTCAAACACACTATGATATGAAAGGTTGTACAATACTTACCTTCAAAGAAGACTTACCGCTACTGAAAGAAAAAATAACAGAGTATTTTGACAACTTCAAACAAGCAGAGTAAATGAACTCTTTATTTTTCAAGCTTGACTTTTTACAATTTGAACTTTGTTTGCGTAGATATGAATTCTGAAAGAAGTATGAGGGTCTTGTATGACTTTGTACTTCTCCCATAGTTCATGTCTGTCAAACTTACCTGCCATGGACTCTTTCATAAGTTCCATGAAATCGTCTTCGGACAATCCGGGGAAAAGTATAATGTCAGTAAGTATTCTTTTAACATCCTTACTTAAACTCTTTGCTGTCTGTACACATATTACGACTGAGATGTTAAAGTGTCTGAGCTTCTTAAGAATTCGACACATATCTTGTTCTCTGTTCTTTAACAAAGGATGAGAAGCAAAGTCATCTAAAATAAGAAGACATCTATGAGGGTAAGTCTTCCAATCGTAAGATTGCAATTTCTTCGAAATGTATTCTATCTCTTTCTGTTTGTTTCTGAAGTGTTTCTTCTCTAATATTCTCTGCATTTCCTCATTTGGGTCTTTAAACTTAGAATTTATATACTCATTTATAGCATTATACTTCAAAACTCTTCTTTGGTACTTCTTTATCCAATCTAACAACTCAGTATCCTTTATACATACTAACTTAGACTTCTTTATAATATCTTTGAACGAATTGACGGTTTGGTCAAATTGACCAGAAGTCGAACAAATAACAACTAACTCATAGAATGGGTTCTTCTCATCTAGTTCTTGTTGTTGTGCAGCCATTTTAAGATAAGTGAAAGTCTTACCCGACCCAGGTGGTGCAATTAGACCTGTATATACCATTCTGAGCAAATAAGAACTTGTCATGTATAGGCTTTTATCTGAGCATTTTCTAACTTCCTCTTGTTCTTGTTTAAAACATTCTCAAATTTCTTGTCAATGTCAGCAAACTTTTTTTCTAACATATTTTAGAAAAATTAAAATTTTTATCTTTTAGAAAATGTCTAGTGATTTCGCTATCTATATTCGAGACAAGCTTTTCGACAGCAAAACATCTGTCGACCATAAAATCTTACATAGTGTAAACAAGAAAGGGGAATTTGTTCTAAAGTTCTGTTTCTGGGAATATGACAAGAACCATAAAACATTAAGCAGAGCAGTCTTAAAATTTGTCAATGACAGACTTGTTGACAGAGATGACACCGATTGGAAAGATGAAGTCCAACAAAAGTTCTTAGAATGCAAAGAAGACACATGCGCTGTTCTTGAAGATGAAATAGAAAACAGAATAGATGAGCTATTAAAGGACAAAGAACTTTTACATAAATATAGTTGCGCCAAATTTGACATAACTCCACCAGAAAAGAAGAAGAGAGAAAAGAAAGAAAAGAAAGTAGAAGAGAGAAGAAAGAACCTGAACCAGTTCCAGAGAAAAAGAAATTTGACATGTAAAAATAAAATTTTATTTTTTAGAAAACATTTCTGGGTCAATGTCAATGTTCTCTTCCTCTTTAGGAGTAAACACTGGCTTAAGACTCAAAATCTTTTTACCCAATTTACCTTGAACTTCTACAACTTTAGACTCATAATATTCATAGTCGTCTGCTTTCTTTGGTTCATAAGTTATAACAAGTTTGTATGCTTTGCCTTCTTTAAGGTTTTGAGAACCTTCTGTCAAAACTTTCTTTGACTGTTAACAAACCTTCTATGTCTAAGTCTTCAAATTTCGCACCATTTTTAGTCACAATAGCAAACTTAACTGGTTCGATGTTCCAAACTTTGCTGAATGAAGACTTTTCAAAAATGGTAGAAGTAAACATTCAAATATGTGAATGGGTCTAGTTCTTCTTTTAAGTCCTGACATGTACTTGATTTACTGAGATGAATTTTGTCATCTTTTCTATCGGATAAAAAAATATTTTTTTTTAAAATTTACTCAGAAAAATTTTCTTTGTATATACACCATTCTGAACATCTAAAAGACTTTTGACATTTGCCAAGAATGTTCGTTTAGAATCTGTCATATAACCATATTCTTGACAATATTGTTTTTACGAATCGTACAATGACCTTTCATCTAATGACACAAAGTCAGTTTCATCTATGAACAGTTCATATACACTCTTGTTTGCTTCTAACAATGTTTGTCTCTCTTCGGTATGTGGAATTTGTCTTGGATTGAACTTTAGAAATATCTAATGTCATGAAATATGAGAAACAAGTGGTTGTAAAAGTCAGATGTCAAAGTTTCTGCTAAGTCGTCAAAATATTCTGTATCTTGCATATGAGATCTGACGTTCTGACAACTACATATCTTCTGTCAGAACTTTCTAACTTCATCGGAACAGCATTGTTTGAAAACCATAATGAAGTTTGCAACATTTTCACAAACTCTTTGGTCTTTATACTTTCTTTCAACAACTCCAACTTTGTCTGTTATAAGACTCTTCAAAGCATCTGAGTTCAAAACTTTTGTTGTATCTATACTTTGAAGTTCATTGCAAAACTATAAGTTTCATATTCTCAATTGAAGAGTTAAATTACCGCAGATGTTTTCTAAGTTTGTCATATTAGGGTTCGAATACCTTCTAATAGTTTGCACAAAATATCTGTAAAGAAAGTATTCTTACCTGTTCCTTGTTTTCCAATTATAATGAGAGCAGTTTCATTTTTAGCACTTGGATGTTGTAAGATGGTTTGCAAACCAACATAAGATATACTCATAAACCTTTTCGTTTCCATTGCATATAATTTCTTTGACATGGTCTAAACCAAGCTTCTATAATATTTTCTTTCCATTCTACTTGTTCATATTTATATCCAGTGAAGATAGAATAGAAGTTTGGAGAAGGTGTATAAAAACTTTATACCACGAACTGAAAAATCTTCTAACTTGACAATAAGATATCCCAAGCATCTAACATCTTCATTCCAACTTGTACAACTTTTATTTTCTTAAGTTTCTGTCTACATTCTTGTTCTGAAACTATGTTGCTCTTGGTATGTTAAAGACAACATCCATTCTTTCATGACATAACATTCTGGGGCAGAGTCAACATAAATGACTAAACGTTTCAAATTCTCGACTGCTTTGTTATAGTCTCTAAATGGACACATATTTCTGAATGCTTGGAAGTCATAAAAATCTGAAACATCTATTCTGTACATTTTTATAAAATAAAAAAAAATATTATTTTTTTATTCTTGACTTTGTTGTTCCATTTGTTGCATTTGTTGTTCTTGAGCTATTTGTGTGTTGAAGTTGTTCTTGTAATACAATACTTTCACCAGTTGCATCTTCCAATTCGAAACTTTCTGCCGTCATTGACAAATACATAGGACATAAAAGTTTTACAGGAACAAAGTTTGCGTCAACTAATGTCAACGTTATACTTGCCAAAGTGTTTGAGTTCACTAAGGTTGAAAATTCTGCATTCGAATGAACAATAGGCAAACCAGCAGAGAAAGTATTGTTTATACGCATAAGTATCTTTTGGTCATAATAGTTTCTGTCGACATTCGAATAACACTTTGAACCTAAGTTTGAAACAATATATAAGATTGGTGTGCTTAATGTCAATGGAATAGACATTCCTTGTATGACACCTTTTCCTGTTATAGGAAACTGTTGGTAGTAAAAACCAGAAATAAGTTTTGTATTATAGCTCATATCGTTTATAGTAAACTCAGTCGGACATCCAAACATAATGAAACCTGCTCTAGTTGCAGCACATGTTACACCCGTCCTTAAAGTATTAAATAAGTCAACAAAACCTGTTGGTGGTATATCTGAGTAAGTATCTTCAAAGGAGTATTTTTTACCATTCACAACAATAAAGTCTTCTGGTGTCAAAAGAGCAAAACAGGCTTTAGTCGTCATTGTGTTTAAGGTTAGTTTACAATATCGTCCTTGAGGACTTTGTAAGTTTGTTGTTATAGAATTATATGACTCAGGGTTTTTAGTCGTAATAGTATAAACCACTATGTCTTCTGCCATTTACTTAGCAATAAATTTTAATGAAATGTTGTGGTCGTCAAATATTTTTATGACGTCTGGGAAACTATATTTTAAGTTCAACGTTTCACCTCCTTTCATAACGTATATCTTGTCAATGACATTATATGAAACACCACAGCAACTAATGTCGGGTTCTATTTCTTTGATGTTTATATCGTCTGCCTCTGTCAAAAGTTTCAATAGTTCTTTCAAAACTTCATGAGGTGCAATGACATATGAGTTCACTTTTACAGGGTTGTGTTCGACCAAGTTTAACATTATACTTAAAGCTTGACAAATCTTCTCCTGAGTTTGAAGTTTGTCTTTCAGTTGTTGGTAGTCGTTTCGAATATCTGCAACAGAACTTAAGTCTCTGCTAACTTCAGGATATGTTGGTTCTTTTACAGGAACAATTGTTATACCATCTTCGTCTTCGTATGGTTTCCCCACTTCAACATCTCTGTCTTTGACATTGACAATAACACTTTGACTGTTTGTTTGAGTTGGTGAATTTAACTTCACATCTGCCACCGCCATTAAACCTTTTGAAACACTTACGCTTCTATTTTTCGGAAATGACATTTTACTTAGAATAAAAAGATGGACGTATTCGAGTATCTCTTCGAATTGAAGCAAACAAAGTTTACACACACAAACAATACAAATACATTGACAGAATAGTTCTTTATACAAACAATGGAAAATGTTATAGAATAGCATCTTTGCTGAACCAAAATATTTTCATAAAGCAAAGAAAGTTGGTATAACGAGATGGTGAAAGTTCTTGAAGCAGACAAAAATATAACTTCAAAACTGACCGATATTTCTAAAGGAAAGTTTATAATACAATTATGTCAAAACTGGCGTACTGTCAATATTTGACGGAGAGAAGTCAGTTCAAGAACAACTTACTGACCTGCTGCCAAAATCTGCTCGATGGAAGCTGTCGTTATGCCAATCTGAGGAGCCCCAGCAGGTTTCATCGAACGAATCTTCAAAAGAGCATCTTCCGTGAAAAGTGCTATTGGTTTTGTAAACTTCTTTGCTCTCAATTCATCTGGACCGTCTCTGTCACCAGTATATTGTATTTGTACAGTACCAACAGTTGAAATACCACCCATAAAGTCTTCTGAGTCAGCAAATGGAATGCCAAGCCAAAAGTTTGAACGGTCTCCATTTGTATATTGAGTTTTTTGACCTCCTGTATGAGTCCATACTTTCACATATGGCATAATAGAACTTTGCATTTCAGGGTTAATGGTTGTTGTGAAGTTGTTGTTAAAGTTCATAGCATCTAATGTCAAGTTGTATGACCTCATATCCTCAACTGTAGAATATTCTTCTCTTGGATAATATTTGCCATCTATGTTTATATGATATTTAATACCAGGGTTGTAGAAACAAGAATAGTCATTTATAGTTCGTCTGAACAGTACAAACATAGTATCTGCATGTTTCATTGCAGTTGTTAAAGCAATATCTGTTCTTGCACCTGGGTCAGCACTTTGGTTTCCAACTTCACCTGCAAAGTCTTTGACAGATATTTGGTGTATAGGGAACATAAGTGGAACTGCAATATATTTGGCAGCTAAAGCATTTGAAATATCTGGGTCCAACATATAGACTGCAAGTCTGCTTTCTATTCTCTTGCATTCAAATTTTTCGCATGTGAACTTAACTGGGTCCCAAGCAGTTCCAGCAGCATTGAAATAATAGTTTACTTCAGTGTTGAGGTTTGAGAAACCAAAGTCTAAGTCAACTTTGTCTTTGCAAAAGTCGGCGAATGACGTTTTATTTGTTCCCTCTACGTCTGTAAGAGTGAATGGGTCTTGTGTTGGTGCAATGACTAAGTTATTTTTGCTTGGAGTAAGTTCAATAGAAATTTTTCCTGCCCAGTTTGGCAAGTATCTTAAAAACCTGAAGATGAGGAAAGATGACAAAGGAACTCTAAGTTTCAGTTTTACTTTAGTGGCAGCAGTTCCATCTGAACCAGAAAGGTTAACATAAACTCCTGGAACGTTAGGGTCAAGTCTTCTTATTTTCTCAATAGTTGCATACTGGTCTGTTTGTTCTCTAGCTTGTGGTTGTACTGAGTTTCTCAAAGCGAACCATTCATAGTTTGCCCATGTTACTGTTTGAACTAAGTCAGAGTTAGAATATATCTTATATCCCATGAAAACTTCTGGAGCATATTGGTATCCGACATAGAAAATTCCATTGCAACCTTTCTTGTCAGACAACTTGGCAGAAGGTTTTATTTCAATGTCTTGTTCCACGTATAAGAATGAGTTGTCAATAGAAATAATATGAAACCTGTCGCAAGCAATATCTACTGTTGTTGAAGAACCTTCTCCAAACTCACCTACGTTTCCATAAGAAACAGCAGTTGTATATTCGTAAGTTCCAGGAACTATTTCTGACCTTCTAATGGCATTGTCGCATTCGTTATACCATTCGGAAACATTTCCGTTCATGGCATCCAAAACTGTTGGCGTTATATTCTGAGCGGCGTACATTTCATATGGGTAAAAATATAGAATAGTTGGATTTATATGTCATAATAGAACCCACTCGGACCAAGCTTTACTTTCTTCCTGACTGACTGTTTTAACTCTTCTTTTTCCTTCATTGCCACTACTTTCACTAGATGAAGTTACTTCTTCACTACTTTCACTTTGTTCTACTCTTCTCTTCTTCTTTGGTGTCGCTTTTGGTAACTTGCCCTCTGCTTCAAGTTGTTGCATCTTTGCCTCATGTTCACCTAGTATGTTGTAAATTTCCCATGTCCTTTTTGCCTTTGGGCTCTGGTCGCCCATCTCAGGTAACCTATATCCTAGAAAGATTTTGTCATAGTTTGTATTTGAGTCTTCGCGTATTGTTTGCATGACTCTTTCCTGAGTTTCCGGTTCAAGCTCTTCAAACAGAGCTTGTCCATATGGAATAAGCTCGTTTCCAAATATATGTTTTTGTAGCCATTCTGGTTTTCTTTCCATGTAACCAATAATATCTTTTGTGAATGGGAAAGCTTTTACCCAATGTTTCAGTCTTGCGTCATTTATTTCTGTAGTTGGTTTTATTTTGTCAAGGAACATGTTTTTCAATACTAACATTTCATTTGGTACTGTCCATTTGAGTTTTCTTAAATATTCATCCCTTCTCAGTTCATTGTCTGCAAAGTAAGTTTTTATGACATTTTGCAAACTTTCGTTTGCAAGGTCATGTACAATAGGTTCTCTTCCTTCTCTCTCCCTAACTTTCTTTCTAAACTCTTCACCAAATATACCATCTCTATGGTTCTGTGTAGTTCTTTGAGATAAATGTTCTAGAACGTCAGGTGTTATATTTCCATCAGCCATGTTCATTTCATACTGGTCCAAAATATCTGCATGTTTCATATCTTTCAATGGCATTAAAGCCGCGCTGAAAATACCAGCTATATCTGGTTCACCATTCACTTCCATTGCGTCTACAACTTCTTGGAATTGTGGTTGTAAGTTTATGAACCACCTATCCGGATTAGCTTTATGACCCCATCTCATTGTAGTTCCATAGTCTGCAGAAACAAAAGTAGGTTTGTTTCCATATTGGTTAGGTTCTGAATGAACTTTAAACAATGTTTCATTTCTATATGTTTTGTTGAAATTTAACCTTTTATTTTCACCGAGTTCATCCAAAGATTGAACGTTATATGGTCGTAAGTAAAAAGGATTATTGTATTTGCGTACATTTTCTTTCAGTACTTCCATTCTATGCTGAATATTTTCATCTGATGTTGGAGTCTTTTGTATGTCGGCGAACATTTTTCGATATTCTTCTACTATGTCAGCCGAATTTTTCTTAGACTCTTGGAAAGATTCCATATTCTCCGCATACACTTGTTGAGGGTCAAGATTTTTCGGCTGTTCCAAATCTTCATCTAGTTCTGTGAAGTTAGTTTCCAAAGGAGGGACTTGTTCGTTTCCTTCAGGCTCTTCTAGCTGTTGTTGCTGAACTATTTCTTCCATGTCTGGTTGTATCTGAACTTCTTCCTGTGGAGTTTCTTGTACCTCATCTGTGGCATTTCATATATTCCGAGACCGTTTTTAAAAAGTTCCCTATCTAAGTCATCCGGACTCATAAACCTTTCTTCTTTCGTTCCGTCTCTATTTTTTACGCGTTTCATGAAGAGAGTTGAATTATCATTTAGCTCTGACACCAAATATCTCGGAGTAAATTCATTCATGTCATTTGGATGATATGCTATTAAATCATATCCCTTAGCGAGCTTGTATTTTCCAGGTTTGAAATTATATCCCATTTGGTGCTGAACCATAAAGCTAAATAGGTTCGGGTCAGTATTTCCTTCCTTGAACTTTCTAATAGCTTCTTTATATCTGTCACTAAAGTCAAGAGTATCTGGGTAACCATAATCTTCCTTAAGCATTTTTAAGAATTCTTGGTTTCCTTGTTCTCTACTTCTTTTATGTCCTTGCTCGTTTGTGCTGTTGTGGCTGGTTGTGGAGGTTGTTGTGCTGGATTTGAACTGTTGGTTGTGTGCTGGTTTGAACTGTTGGTTGTTGTGCTGGATTTTGAACTGTTGGTTGTTGTGCTGGATTTTGAATTGTTGGTTGTTGTTGGTGCTGGATTTTTGAACTGTTGGTTGTTGTGTTGGTTTTGGTGCATGCCTGTGTCTGTGTCCATGTGACGATGTAAATGTTTTAGGTAGTCCTGGTGCAGGTGCTTCTCTTGGAGGGTTTGGTGGTATATAAGTTCCACTAGCTAGTATATAAGTTCCACCAGCTGGTATATAAGTTCCACCAGCTGGCACATATGTTCCATCTGCAGCATAATGTCCTACCTGACTTTTCGTTCTTAAGAAAGCATTTACTAGGTCTGTTTTGGTCTGTTGTAACTCTTTTTCTTGACTTTCCACAACATTGCTCTAACGGCGTCATAGGCACTTTGAACTGCCTGTCTCGTTGCTGCATCTGTTATTTTCGTCATATTTTGTGCTACTTCTCTTAACTCTTTGTCGAAACCTTCAGACTTCAGTTTCTTTCCAGATGAGAAGTCGTTCACTAGTTTCACCTTACTATGAAGAGCTTCGAAGGCATTCTTAAAGTCAGCATTCATTAAAGCTTCATTTGAACTGTCTTCATCCGCTTGTATTTTTGTCCTTATTGACCCTATAAGTTGGGCTGCTTTAGCGTTGGCTTGGGCATCTAACCAGTCATTATTAGCTTTTATATATTCTGCGCTTTTCATTGCCTTTTGCATGGCTGCGTCGTTATTTTTACTTTCTTGTGCTAAGTTTTCATACTGTACGGTTTGGTTTTGCAACTGTAAAAGTTTTTCTGCCTTTACATTTGCTTCAACTTCTTTTTTATACTCATCGCTATCCATATATGTCTTCAGGGCTTTTTGTTTTATCTCTTCATCTTTCAGTACTTTATATTGAGTAGTATGGTTTTTCAAATTTATAACATCTTGTTCCATTTTTGCTACTTCTGCTGCTTTTTCTGACACTTTTTTCGCATATTCCTCTGTACTTAGTTCTTTCAGTTGTTCTTCTTTCTTCTTTTTCTCTACGTTTAACTCATTGAGTTTCTTTGTGTGTCTGTCATATTCTAGTTTCTTTTCGTTTTCACTTATTTGTTTCTGTATGTCTATGTTTGACTTTTTGACATCTGTTATTTGATTTTTGAGTGAACTCAAATTCATTTGACTTTGAGGGTTATAAGCTGTTCCGTCTGCAGCTCCACCATAGCCTGCCATTTTCGCTAAAAGTGCCGCTCTTAAACCTCCACTCTGTGCACCAATAACTCGGTTTAAAAGCATAGGGTTGCTTGACATTTGTTGCAACATAGTGGGGTCATTCATCATTTGTTGTTGCAACTGTTGTTGTGGTGTCAGTTTTACTATTGGATGTTTCAATGCTCTCTTCCTCTTACGTATATTCTTACGTAGCTTACGTGGCATTTTAAGTGAAGTAAAAAACGGTTTTTGACAGATGTTTATATGACACTTTTTGTTCAGCACAAAAAATTACTCGGTCAAAGTGTTGTTAGTTTTGTAAAATAACCGTCTTATCTCATTCTATAAGGGGGAAAAGGCTTCTCAAAGTATACTTCCTTGGAACGCCTGTAACTTTTCCTGTAGCGACGATAGACCCTTACTTGTCCGGACAAAGTTATACTATTTTGAGCGCTCTACCAAAAAGTCAATAGCGACGACTCTCAAAAACCGTTGTGTAAAAAGTTTTACCGTTGGACAAAAAAATATATATAGAAAACAAAAAACGTTTATAGTTCATTCAATATTTGAGATGGAACGGTTTTCCAACGGTAACTATTAAATAAAATAAAAAAATAGAGAGGGTTACCGTTGGTAAAAACGGTTTATTTTAAACTTTTCTATGAGTGGTCCGAAAAAAACAGTTTATTTTTCATAATGGAAGGAAGAAAAAGTGTCGCAAACAATTCGTCGACTACCTCTGCAGTTAAAGTTCCTACAACTTATGTCTCACCATTCTCAAAACCCTTACGACCTCCTATAATACCAAAGCAACTTCCTCATACAATTCAAGACAAATTGTTGGACAATATGCATTTGCACAAAGAAACAGCTCAGCCAACAGGTCAGGCAACAACAACTATCGGAACAGAAGCATTTTCAGAAGAAGTTCATACCAATCAGACTCCAATCGAACATACAGAAACACAACCACCCGAAAATACAGAAACACATCCAATCGAACATACAGAAACACATTCTGCAATGACCACTAGGTCGCAAACACGATATCTCGCCTTTAGCAAACAATTTAAGTCTCAAATTCAAGACACACAAGATAGCGACACTCCTCTTTCAGAGAAAGTTCGTAGAAAATACGCAAAGAAAAGGTTAGAATTGTTAGATAAGTTAAATGAACAGTGGGGTTCAGAAGACAATCGAGATTATAACGAGATGTTTCAAGCTGTCATGGATGCCATTCAGCCTCTTGAAAACGAAATCAAAGACCCTGGCGTACTTGTTGACATGTTTGCTTCATATTTACCCGTTACTGCCAATCTCATAGCGTTGCAAGCTATTGACCAGTTCATTCACTTGTTTCCAAAGAACTTGCAGAAGCATTTACAAGAAGTTAAAATTGCTGAATTTGTCCGTTTATATCCAAATTCATACAATTATTTGGAAGAATTGAATGAACATGGTGAAAGGTCATTCTATTTATATTTCTACACAAAAGACAACCAGTCAAAACGACTATACTGCATTGAACCTATGCCTCAATTCTTAGACAATTTCCACGTTATAACAACTGTTGCTTTAGATATTCCTGCCAGAGTTCCATATGGAGGAACAGTAACTATCTCAAGCTTTCCCAAGGGCTATAAAGGAAAGCCTCTCACAATTGCAAAATTCACACACAGCAGTTGCCAATTTGTTCAAGATGTCGAGTTCCATTTCCTCAACAATACGACTTTCATCATAGAGACTCCTCAAGAAGGTATATACAAAGTTTTCATTGCAGGATTTGTTGCTCCCAATGGCGAAGAAGAAGTCGAAGAAATCCTCACCTCAGAGAGCGAAGAAGAAGAAGTCGAAGAAATCCTCACCTCAGAGAGCGAAGAAGAAGAAAATTTCCAAGACATTCAAGATTCAGAATATACCGAATAAAAAAAACAATTTAAGACTAAAAATTTAATTTTATTATAATATTTTTATTTTTTTCATCTGGTCTTTGTATCATTCCTCCTCTAGTTTCTCCGGGGCTAGAGGGCGCAACGCGCCTGGAAGCCCCACTTACCTGACCTTATTAATATGGAGAAATGTACCGGACTGTAAAAATTATTTTTTCAAAGAACAATAATATTAAATGTGTAGAAAATAATAAAATTCTTCAATAGAATTAAGAGAATCATCTAGTAAAGAATAGTAATTATTTCTGTTTCAAGTTTTCGTAAAATATATATGGAAATTGATTTAAAATATGTGAAAGATCGCGTTTCTAATAAAATATTATTCATAAGAAGGACACACTTTAGCTATATTACTTATTTTTGAGGCTGAAAAATGGCTTTTTATATGGTTCATCTCTGAAAAAAAAAACTTCTTAAAATTATTGAACCTGTTCCCATTTAATTTTTATTAAATTTTATTTTTCTCCATTTTAATATATATTGTATATATATTAATTATTTCCATTTGAATAACTTTTAAAAGAAATCTTTCAGAATTACTGAACAATTATAAAAATATAGCATTTTATTAGATAGTGAAATATACTCAAATTATAAATTTTTTAAAAATTATTTGCTTCAATTTTTAAAACAAGATTATTTCCTAATTAATGAAATTTTATAACTACTGCAATATCTTTTAAATTGAATGAATTCAATTTTGCAAAGACGATTCATTTCATTTTTACATCCCTCACAATTTTTAAAGTGGCGTAAATTATTCTATTATATTGACCACTTCACTTAAAAATTCTATATATGTCAATGGGTAAAACAAAGTTATGAAGTATATTTTTATCTGTGCTATCCATATACGGTTATATATAATTAGGATAACGATCTCGAGTGGGGGACAAACTCGCCCATTGTCACTTTTTCATTAACCTTAAACTTGTAATTTTCATTATTTTTAATTAACCTTATTTCTTTCCCAATTCCTGATTTATTTTATTCACTTACTATTAAAAGTCACATTTTAATAAAATATAATAATTTATTTATAGCATTTTTTACTATACTGTAATAAAAAATTAATTATAATAAATTAAATGTTTATTAAATCAAATGTTTTCTTTGCAATAATATTTTTAATGTTGAGTAAACAATGTTGGGATCAAGTGTATCATTTTTCAGACCTTTCTGAACAGCTTCAAGCATACTGATGCATTCGACTTTTTTAAATTGTGTCATTTCTTCGAAATCTCTTGTGACTTTTTTGATAACTTTAACACTTCTCTCTGAATCCAGACCTTTAATTTGCAACTTAATCAGGAATGAAGGAATAACACTGGAATATAACTCGATGACAAGTTCATCGAGTCGAAGATTTGGTTGTACACCACTTGTATGTGCCGGATACCATTGTGTCAAATTTTTTCTGAAATTAACTTTAAAAGTACTAAGTAAGATCATGAGATATAGCAATATATGTTTAAACCAACTTATATTTTGGTTGTACACCACTTGTATGTGCCGGATACCATTGTGTCAAATTTTTTCTGAAATTAACTTTAAAAGTACTAAGTAAGATCATGAGATATAGCAATATATGTTTAAACCAACTTATATTTTGGTTGTACACCACTTGTATGTGCCGGATACCATTGTGTCAAATTTTTTCTGAAATTAACTTTAAAAGTACTAAGTAAGATCATTTATTTTTGCATAATATAATGCCAATATGGTTTCTTTTGATTTTATTTCATTTATAAGCAAATCAGATTTACCCAAAAACTCCACTCCATAAGCGTTCATTTGCTAAATTAAAAAGTGACAATGGGCTAGTCTGTCCCTTTCTCTAACGATCTCAAAAAATAGCTATTCTATGTGTTTATTTCAATAGAGCCGAACCTTTGAATTTTTAATGAGCTCGAAACAATAAATATTTACCAATTTAACATTTAACCAAAAATTTATTATTGCTTTTCAAATTTTGAAAATGATGAAAGTATAATGGCTCCTTAAAATTTCATACTACTTACATATTTGCATTTTTTGTTAGCAGCTGTTTCATCACACAAAATGTTATTCCGTTAAATATTTATTTCTTTTATCTAATTCAGTTCTTAATGAAATTTGTTGCAATCAAATTTTTGCTTTGAATTGATTTTCAAATTTCATGAAGAATTCTAGAACAAATGAAAATGGTGATGGCCAAGCGAATTTTTTTGATTACTTACTTGTCGGATTACCAGAAGGAACGATTATTGAAGTCAAGCAGCTATTTTATAATTTTATAACTAATGTAATGACTTATGATGAGGTTAAGAGCGCATATCAATCTCTTATTGGTAACACAGATGCTATAAATATGCTTCAGAGCTTTATGAATGTATCTGAGGAGGCCCCAGTTGTAGAGCAAGATGAAAATGATACCGCAAATATGAAAAAGAATAAAACCTGGAGTAGATTTGAAGATCAACGATTAGTTACAGGAATACATAAATACGGTATCACAAATTGGACAAATATTTGTCAATTTGTGGGAAATAGAAGAACACGTGGACAATGTAGCCAGCGTTGGCATAGAACTATAAATCCACTCATAAATAAAAACTACTGGAGTGCGGAAGAAGATTATAAATTAATTCATGCTGTCAATAAATATGGAGATAAATCTTGGGCGAAAGTCGCTTCGTATGTAATTGATAGAACAGATATACATTGCAGATATAGATATCAGATTATATCCAAAAAGCGTACCGCATCATCTAATGAAAGTCCTACTCTTTATTATTATCAAAATTCCGAAAAAATATCCGGAAAGTCCGAAAAACCAAGAAAAGCAGCAGAAGTAACACCTAAAGAGGATAATCAATCTAATTTCAAGACAACAAACTTAGATAATGCAATAAATTTATTTGATCTACTGAAAGAGATAAGCGCTGACCCATCATCACTATTTAATAATGTTTAGAGATTTGTTTTATTATTCTTATCTTTATATATGCCATAAATGTTTTTACTGTTTGAATGATTATTTAAAATCTATAAAAAATTATCTTGGAATTTATAAATTTGATGACCAAAGATTGATATTTAAATTAGTTTTTGCTCAATCAGATGTGAAAAATATCTCATTTTAAATTCAAATCTGATCATGATAAAAGCATAAGAATGCTTATGAGATACTTGAAATGAAATGATCTTAGCATAATAACTTAAGAATTATTGAAATTTTAATATCAAGCCTTTTAAATCAATAAAACAGAGATAATAATAGAATTCATTAACATTCCTTTAATAATGAAACTCAGGTGCTCAAATAGGGAAGTAAATATATGAGAATTATTAAATTATCAATTCATAGTGAATTCTTTATCTTTAAAAGGGGTATGATGTTATGAATTCGCTAATTAGAATTCTTATTTTGCAAATTATTTTGATAAAAATAAAAAAAGTATTATTTCGACCGATTGTATCTCTTGATCCAATAAGGCAGTGATAGATATAGTAAATTCAATTGAAGATAGTAGAATACATGATAATTTACAAAATTATAAAAATAAAAAATATAATGAATTTTTCTATATTGGTAATAAATATATATATCAGACATGTAGCATTATAAAACGATGATGCTAAATTGTATGGAAAAGTGATTGGGGATCAGACGTCGTTTCATTGATCCAATCAATTAGTCTTAGTTTTTCATTTTGGTCGACCAACATTGCTGGGTACTCAGTGTGATTATCTTTTGTGTCTAATCTGTCAATTGGAGCTTTTTGCTTCTGATGATGTTTCGAAATTTTGTCAAATAGCTTAATTCCCAATTCATTTGAAAGATTTTTCGATATAATTTGATATCTGTATCTGCATTGCACATCAGTTCTCCCTGCAATGTCATTCGAAACTTTTGTCCAGCTTTTATCTCCATATTTATTAACAGCAGTAATAAGCTTTAAATCCTCTAATTGATTCCGAAGAGTTTTGTTAATTAAAGGATTTAGTGATCGCGCCCACCTTTGAGAGCATTGGCATCTATTTCTACCATTCCCTACAAATTGGGATATTTTTGTCCAGTCTGTTGGGCCAAATTTATGTACACCTGCGATTAATCTTTGATCTTCATATTGTGACCAAGATTTGCTTTTTCTTTGATAATGATTATCTTTTGATGTTCCAAATGCAGATATTGGTTCATCTGATACATTCATAAATAAAAGTAATTTATCAACAGCTTGACAATTCCCACATGTCATTAAGGACTCTTCGCGTGCAAGTTCATATGTGATAACGTTTGTGATGTAGTTGAATAGGGTTAGTTTCATTTGCTGAAGGTAATTAGGTGGAATGTTAGAGAGTAATTGCTCATAAACAATACCGCTGGAGGTAAAGTTATCAGAGCACTTCATAGAGAACAAGAAAAAAAAAATTGAATTGCAAAAATTCAAAATAAAATTGGTCTGATTGAATATAGGATATAAATGCCGAGGAATTTTCGTTGGTCGGTATGAAAAATTAGTTTGAAAAATAAAATTGAAAAGGAATATCATGAGAGATTTTAAAAAATTGTTGCAAATAAGATAAGAATAAGATTCAAACTAAAAATTGCACTATTTATCGTCAAGCGTAAAACATTGAATTATTGAAATAATTGAAATATTGAATATCTATTATTTTGAATTTTCGATTCAAATTCTTTTGTGTTGAGTTTTGCTATTTCTTGCAAATTTTCTTTAAGATTAAGTAATGTTACACATTAATATGCAAACTTCGAATTTTTATTTTTTGTTAGATGGATTCATGAGATTTTGATAAAACAATTGAGTAATATGTTGACATTAAAAATACCATATTTCTCAAATTTTTCTTTCAAAGTATTAAATTTGACATGATATTTTTGAAAGATTATATTTACGGATTTTCATTTTTCATCATAGAAGTGTTTAATTGCATTTTTATATTACTATATTAATTATCAGAGAGAAATTGTAATAAAACTACTAAAGATAAATTGACTTTTTTGAATCAATATTAATCGAATTAACCGGATAATTCATGATATAGTAGTTCATACAAGCATGAATAGGAATAATGCGGAGCAAGTATTTATGATTTTTTTAAATTAAGTATATCGATCATAAAAATCGTTTATTGAACATCCTAGACATATAATATTGTATGAATGTGATATGTTGATTAAAAATAAATGTAACAAACTAAGTAGGAGATTGATATTTCAAAAAATTAAAAAAAATAATATGAAATATCAATTATTTGTCATATATGATCTAAAATAATTATATGGTATCTTATTAATGTTATATATTAAGCCTCGAAATTGATTAATCCAATATATAGTATTTTTTTTCGAAAAATAATAAATTTTGTAGTGATATTCTAATGAATATCAGATCAACGGCTCACATTCGTGATTATGCCATTACATTTATTAACCCTATATTTTTTTCAAAAAAATATTGGAAAATAAAAATATAGCATCGTTTTGAGGCAGAACATATATATTAAATCAAATCTACCATATGGAATATTCAGCTCATAAAGAGTAGGTATTGAGGAGTAAAATTGATCATCGAATAACCAAAATTGTTATTCAATCTGTTAATTAAAAGCGAAATAAATGATGAATGGAAAAGAAATCACGTAATTAGTTTATATACATTAAAACAGTCTTTTTATTTTAATATTATAATATACTAATTATTCTTTTTTTGAGTTGAACTCTTGCCTTCAGGATGAGTTCATTGGGAATGGAAGGTAATTCGAATCTTTTTCGAATTTTTCTGGATTTTCTTTCGGGAGCCTTGACTTTTTTGAGCCTAATTATATCACTTGAAATATTTTTGGAGGTTGATTTTACAAAAACTAAGAAACTTTAATAATTCAGGAGGTTTAGCTCAAAAAGATTTAGCGTTATTTTAAGTATACATTGTACATTGAATTTCAGATGAATTTTTTCAATTTGATTTTAAATGTTATTTTATAAAATTTGATTGATTCTTAACTGTATAATCCAACAATCATAATGAATAAATATTTAATTATTGAGTGCCTTTGAAATCATCAACGTTCAAATTTTCAATATCATTGATTTTTTTGAATTAACATATTCTGCGGAATTGATTTCATCTAATAATATAAATTTTATCCGATTTATAATTCTTATTCAAATTTTCTACATTTTTCAATTCAATGATAGATTTCCACATGCAAATCTACTGATAAATTATCTCTAATTAAAATTTACTTTATAAAACTATATCAAATTCACAATTTGAAATTAAATATTGAATAAAACCGATTACGTTTTAACTTTTTGAATTTATGTTCAATATTATATTTATAATATAATTATTTTTATCTTTTTTATATTTCAAAATTGAGGGGATCGTAACCTCTTTTAATTTTTATAATTTTGAAATTGCAATTATAATCACATTTTCAATGCAAGTAAATCAAAATTAAAGGGGAACAGGACAAATTTGCCACACGGCACTTTTTTAAAAAAAATTAATGGAGTGGAGCGATACTCTGCTGCAGGAGCCCCAAGGCTCCCAATCATTACGAAAGGGAGCCTCAGGGCTCCTGAGAATCCATCAGCAGAGGCCTTTTCATTTGGCCTCTGCTGATCAAAGATTCGGCGAAGCCATTCTTCGTCTCAGGAGCCCCAAGGCTCCCAATCATTACGAAAGGGAGCCTCAGGGCTCCTGAGAAACCTCTTTGAGAAGGTTTTCTTAAAGAAAACCTTCTCAAAGATGATTGTCAGCATTCACTCAAAATCTACCAAGAGTTTCAAAGTTTCAAATCTATCTGAAATGAAGCTTTGAATCTATTGTATATCTAATTGAAGAGGTACCTTTTCAAAATGTCTTCTATTGATTAAATTTAATCAGTAAAAGTCATTTTGAAAAGGTACATCTCTATAATTGCTATTGAGCATTCACTCTTGAAACCTTGGAGCTCTTGTGTAGTGCATGAAAACTCCAAGATTCTAGCATAAAACATATATCATAGACATAATTTCTTCAAATATAATTTAAGGTTATTTTTAAAAAAAATTAGAAAAGCGTAATTTAAGGTTATTGAAAAAGTGACACTTGGCAAATTTGTCCCGCACTCAAATTAAAGTTCTAATGATTGTTTTCAAAATCTCTAATTTGACATAATGTTAAAACGCGATAAATTTAATACCACATACTATACCCAGTCTTTGCAACAGATATTCTTTATTCTTTTTTATTTAAAGCCCATATTTTATTTTGAATAAAGCATTGTCCTAAAATTTTTCAATTAATATTGTTGCATGCTAAGTTCGGTCAAAATGTAAACCTCTCAATTTTATCGTCGGGGAAAGTAACTCAATTCCTTCAAAATTATTCTTTAAATATTGAATTTAAAGTTATTTTGTTATATACGAAAACGATAAAAACGGTTTGACAGAAAAGTGACAACTTTACGTGTCAAAAATATAAAAAGTGATATTTTATTCATCATTATCTTCTTCATAATTTATTTCATATTCTTCGTCTTACCAACAAAAGATGGGAATGTGAACAATTGCGGGCAATTTTTAGCCATTTTGGCTTGGAACTAGAGCCTGCGAGGTACATGGATAGTATCAGTACCTCACAGGCTCTAGTTCTCTATATGGCGCCGAGAAATTTTGGTGAAATGTGGTCGCATTTCACCAAAATTTTTTCGGCGCCATAGGATGAATTGGAGGGTGAGAGATATTATTTCATACAATACTACTCTCACCCTCCAATTCCCAGCCAAAATGGCTAAAAATTGCCCGCAATGTGAACAATTGCGGGCAATTTTTAGCCATTTTGGCTTGGAACTAGAGCCTGCGAGGTACATGGATAGTATCAGTACCTCACAGGCTCTAGTTCTCTATATGGCGCCGAGAAATTTTGGTGAAATGTGGTCGCATTTCACCAAAATTTTTTCGGCGCCATAGGATGAATTGGAGGGTGAGAGATATTATTTCATACAATACTACTCTCACCCTCCAATTCCCAGCCAAAATGGCTAAAAAATTGCCCGCAATGTGAACAATTGCGGGCAATTTTTAGCCATTTTGGCTTGGAACTAGAGCCTGCGAGGTACATGGATAGTATCAGTACCTCACAGGCTCTAGTTCTCTATATGGCGCCGAGAAATTTTGGTGAAATGTGGTCGCATTTCACCAAAATTTTTTCGGCGCCATAGGATGAATTGGAGGGTGAGAGATATTATTTCATACAATACTACTCTCACCCTCAATTTTAATTACTTAAACTCATTCTATTTTTTTGACATGTAAATGTCACTTTTACTGAGATCTGACACAATGTCAGATCTCTTTTTTTCGTATATAAGAATTTAATTTGGATTATAAATAAATAGGCTAATACAATATTTAAAAATGAGAAAAAATAACTTTTCAAAGAACTTTTCATAATCTCAAAGAAAATTTTTTATTCAATAATTATATAAATTAATTAACATTCATAATGAAATTGGATTTTTTTATAAAAAATTGGTCCTACTTAACTTTTTGAGAGAATTTGGCTTTCTCGTAAACGAAAAAGGGGATTTGACGGAGTCAAATCCCCGCTCACAAAAAGTGGACTTTACATGTCAAATTTTATATGCATGTAATGTCCACTTTTATGAGTTTTAGGAAGGAATTGGAAGCCATGAGTTACTGACATTGCATCAGTATCTCATAGCCTCCAATTCCTTCAAAAAATGGGAGAAACTTTGTCCGAATAGTTTAACATTCGGACAAAGTTTCTCCCATTTTAAGAAGGAATTGGAGGGTAAGAGATATACCATATGAATGTATATCTCTTACCCTCCAATTCCTTCTAGAAAGTGTCCAAACTTTGGGTTAATTGCAAAGTATTAACCCAAAGTTTGGACACTTTCAAGTGGAGATGGAAGGCTTTGGGGTATATATTAATACAATATACCTCAAAGCCTTCCATCTCCACTACAAATGGGAGAAACTTTGTCCGAATAGTTTAACATTCGGACAAAGTTTCTCCCATCTTTCAATGTAATTGCTACCTGTGAGGTACTGACTTGAAGTCAGTGCTTCACAGGTAGCAATATCCAAAAATTTAAAAAACATTTTATCAGTTCGTTAGAGAACTAGAGCCTCCTAGGTACTGAACCAGAATCAGTGCCTAGGGGACTCTAGTGATCTATATAAATCTGAGAAACTTTGAGGAAATTGTTCGACATTTCCTCAAAGTTTCTCAGCAATTTAGCGAGGAATGTTCGTTATCGTGTAGATATTTATAATATATACATGATAACAAACATTCCCCGCTAAAAGATGTAAAATCTTATAAGAAATAATTGCAAAAGAATAACAAATTGCAACAAATTTTATATGAAACTG